GGGAGGGGCGGCCCCCGCCCCGCTGCCGGGCGCCGGCCCCGGGGCTTGCCCAGCCCAGCCCCCGGTGGGGCCGTGCCTCCGCCCAGGGGCCTCCCCTGCCCGCGGCTCCCCGGCGTGGCGGGGGCCCAAGCGCTGCCCTGCCGGGGCAGGCTGAGCTGCGGGAGGAGGAGGGGGCTCGAAAGAGAGGGCAGTTTCTGTGCACGCAGAGGTATTTCGGACGCTGGCGTCAGCAGTCGCGGGGCGGGGAGAGGCAGCCGCCTGTGGGCGTAATGTCCAGCGCGTGTCGTGAAACCTGCAGGTTTGATCGCTGCTGTAGACTTGTGCTCTGATTAAATGCCTTTTTCTTGTTGATTCTAGGGAACCTGGAATGGTTAGATAAGAACAAAACCAGTTTTCTGATCATGTGGAGGAGACCAGAAGAATGGGGAAAGCTCATCTATCAGTGGGTGAGAACGCAGACGCCGTCCCGCCCCGCAGCCCAGGCTTTCTGTGCCCGGGAGGACGGGTGGTATCAGCTGCGATCTGTGAAAAAGACCACTGTTATATTTTTTTCTTACTTCCTCGTTGCTTTTACCTTTCTTCTTCCATTTCTCTCTGTTGCAGAGAAGTGTAGAGATGTTAACAGCTTTTTCCTCGCTGTAAGGTGCAGTCTGAGCAGTGGATGCAGTCATCCGCTCCCGCTGCAGCTGGCTGTTCCATAGTGGGGACAGAGCAGCGTTGCTGCGTTGCCTTCGTATGGCACAAGTCCTCGTTGCAAAACACGTGGGCAAAAAGAGCAGAGGGGCAGGGAAGGGAACGTCTTAGTTTCCTTAGGCATCATTTCTTGACTCTCCAGAGCCCCAGAGCGTTTCCAGGGTATTTTTGCTCATCGAGTGCTGTCCACGTTCCACGTCGCTTGCGCTGAGGTGTACGAGCGATCGTGCCCAGGATGTTAAATCACACGGACGAGATTTGCTGTATTGCTTTTATGTTGCCAGGTGTCGAAGAACGGCTTGACCAACTCTGTATTCACGCTGTACGAGTTAGCCAACGGAGATGATACAGAGAATGAAGGTAATGTCGTGTGTCGTGTTCCGGAGCAGCTTTACAGAGCACACTTGATTTGAGCGCGTAAACAGTTGATTGTCAGGTTAGAGTTTGTAGATTAAATATTTTAAAATCGCTTATGCAAGCTCGCACTCATCACCGCTGGCAAATGCCGCTCTGAGGGCTTTTGCACCACTTGGTGCGAACATCTCCCTTCGTTATCGCTGTTTGCGTTTTAACCCCTCCGCCCCCAAGCCTCCCTAGTGCCCAGCCCTTTGTCTGCTGTGAGGTGCGGGGTGTCTTGGGTTTATGCCGAAATTCTGCGCGGCCTTTGAGGCTGCTGGGACTCGTTCCCTTCTGGCTGTTGACCTTCAGGCTTTGTTCCCGATGCAGCGATGAGTCTGTCAGTGCAGCCGTGACTCTGGGCTTGCCGTAGTGTTACGGCGCTGGAGTCTGAAAGGGGCTCCTGAGAGCCCTCTGCCTCACTGCCGCCAGTCCCGGGACTTTGCAAGCCTGTCCGTTTCCTGATGTGATTTTTTTTTTCCCCCCCGTTGATGGGGATCTCTGTCCTTCCCTAGAGTTCCACGGCTTAGATGAGGCTATGCTGCTCCGTGCCCTGCAAGCCTTGCAGCAAGAGCACAAGGCTGAAATTATCACGCTGGACGACGGCCGAGGCGTCAAGTTCTTCTGATAGGACCCCCTCCCCTCTTCCCCGGCTGTTGAAGCGGTTCTCGCTGTGCAGGTTCGCTCTCCTGGCCTGGTTTCAAGCCGTGACTGCAAGCAGCTGCACACTCGGGATTTTTTGAGGCAAGGAGAATCTGCAAAGCCTTCCAAAGACATGACTTCTTAGAAATATTCAGAGATCCTCTGTCTTTTCTCCCTGTTGATTGCGTTTGAGAGGCTAAAGCAGCTCTAGGCAGTTCTGAGACCACCCAGAAGTGAAATAATGGGGCTGCTCCTGTTGCTGATCCCCGTTGCCGCAAAGGCCACAGAGCGGACTCTTCGGCTGGCTCTGGAGCTCGGCCTCGAAGGGCACCTCCTCCCCTCCCGCCAGCCGTGTGCTTGCGCCCTGCCGTCCCCGCTGCGGCGCCAAGCGGGGCGGAAGCGAGCACGAGGAACTCGCCGTCGCTGCTGTGCGGTGGAAGGGCTCAGTGGCAGAACGACCTGTGCTTGCTGCGAAGCAGGCTGTGCAGCAGGGTGGGGGTGGGCGCCAAGGAACTAATTGGAAGTAATTAAAAGGAGATGTATTTATAGAGCAGCCTGGGTGTTTTCGTCTGTCTCTTTTTCCATCAGAAACAAAACAGAGCAGCGTACCAGAGTCTTGCCCTTCAGCTGTGTTTCCTTACTGCCCCCGACGAACACAGGGAGAGGGCAGGCCTGCCGAGCCGCCCCATCCAAGGGGGACGCGGGCAGCACAAGCGCTTTTTTCCCACACGCCCGAGCTCTGGACCGCGTGGGCCCTTGCCTGTCTTCAGGGCAGCGTTCATTTCCACGTGCAGTCCACTGAAAGCTGGTGGGTTTGTTGCAGGGTGGCGGGGTAAGCTCTGTACGGAGGGGCTGGTAGAGGGTATGACTAAGTCTTTAGATTCTCGGTGCTGATAACAAAGTACCCAGCTTGCCAGAAACCACGACCCAGGTACAGTATTTGACCCAGTAAATCCTGAATCGCTGGCCAGTGGAAGCTGGACAGCTGTGCCGGGGAAGGACCACGCTTGCCTTTCCTGTTCTTTGCCCGAGCATTCGGCGCTTGGTGCGGGCAGAGGTGGGTGCTGCGCTGGAGCGACCTTTGATCAGAGCCGGCGTGGTCGTGCCGGGGATCCGGCGGAGCGGACGGCGCCTGCTCCCCAGCAGCTTTAGCCGTCTGTGCCCAGCTGGTGCCGAACGGCTCGTCCTGCCTGCCCTGCCCTCGGAGGACGCCTCGGCACTGGTTCAGCTGCAGGGCTGCTGACACCCCTCGTCGACAGTAGGTAATTTTCAGTGTAGACAAGATGCTGGAGTCCAGGCTGAGTTTGTGGGTGTGAAATTTAAAAATTTCCTTTCTGTAGCTGGAGCCCATTGACCTGAACTCAGCGGGATGTGCTGGCTTGATTGATCTGGGCTCTGGAGCTGCAGCTGGAGGCTGGTGGCCAGGGTTCCTCTCGGCCGGTGACAGCAATGCTGCCGAGGAATTCCTGTCTGCCAGCACCTCTCTGCTGGAGAAAGGCGCCAGCGGCGCTCGTGCCGAGTCACTGACGCTGGGCTAACGTGGTCTCTGATCCTTTCTGGAGACCGTCATCCCTACGAGCGCTGAGATGCCGTAGGTGAGCAGATGGGGTGGCGCAGCTGCGGTGCGCACGCCTGCCCTGCTCCCACTGGCGCCGCCGAAGCCTGGGGACAGCCCGGGCTGCTTTCACGTGCCCTGCTCTCGGGTGCCGGTTCTGACAGCCTGGGCCGAGTCCCCACCCGAGCTGAGGTTTGGGGGCAGAGGGCGGAGGTGGCAGCCCTCGGGGACGGACACGCTGGGGACACAAAGAGCTGCCTTGGTGCCACCGTGCGCTGTCTCACTGGGGAACGTCTGATGGGGGCTGAAGAAGCCCAGCTCCCCGTGGCCGCTGCCAGCCACGTTTGCAGAAGCAAAGGCTGGTGCAGGCTATGCTGTGCCGGGAGCCCGGCGGCGTGCACCGGCAGAGGCAGCGCGTCTGTCCCCGCAGCTGGCGCAGGCTCCGCTCAACCCGCGGCTCGCTGGTGGGACAGGGGTCCTCCCTCTCTGCAGCCCAGAAAGTTTCTGTGTAGAAATCGTCCGCTACCAGTGTCTGCCCTGGGCTTGTTTCGATGTCTGAAATCTGCCTCTTCCTCCTTCGTGCCGCCCACGTTGGTTTCTTCCCTCTCTCGTTGCTGCGCCCTTTCCTCTTGCTGCTGTTGTACCCCGGCAGCGAGCTGTGCTTCTGTGCTGGCTGTTCTGTGCTGACGGCATCTGTGTTTGATCCCGAATAACAAGCCTTTAGCAGCCAGGCCTGGGATGTTTGTATTTCGTGCTCTCTATGCATGATGCCGACCTGTCAGCATTGTGTTCTGAGCTGCGTGTGCTGTATGTAACCTGGCTGTCCTTGAGTGAGTCTGTGTTCTTAATTAAATTTGCTCCCTTCTTAGGAAATGGCTGATGTGACATTAGATAAGCCTAAAACCAGCCTTTTTCCTTCCAAGGCGCTCCTGGCAATGATTCACTGCTCTCTTTCGGCTTCCTACTTAGTCGCTTACTTCGCGAGAGGAGGAGGGAGAGTACGTCCCCTCCTTCCAGAATGAACATCGTGTAAAATTCCTTTTTCCGCACCCTCTCGGCTGGTTACAAAAGGTCGCGTCCAGCCGTGCCTGCGAGGTCCTTGGGGGTCCGCTCCCTGTGCCAGCGCCGCGGCAGTGCTGCAGCAGCAGCGAGGTGCTCGCGGACGCTGCTGTCTGCCGGCGATTGCCTGGGGCGGTGGGATGGGTCCTGGCACTGGAAGAGCCGCTGCCGGCTGGGGCTGCCACCCTGGAGGCCACCCTGGAGGGAGCAGATGCTCCCTGGCCGTTCCCTCTGCGGGGGACGGTGGCAATTTGTATCTCGTGGTGGCGTGAGCTCCTGCGGCAGGTGAAACAGAGCCTTGTAATTGCCCTCTGAAACCGGCCTCTTTATCTTTATTCAGTGCTTCATGGCGTTTGAGGATGTAATCGTGGGACTGGGACACCAGAGCCAGCCCAGAGGTCCTGCGTGAGGCTGCTCTGGTGTGGAAGCCCTCGGGTGCTGGGTAGGGACGAAGGAGATGTAATGAGGCTGCTCAGAGGGAGAGGGGCAGCCTCCAGCCGTGACGTTCCCGTGAACGGGAGCAGTCCTGCCTCTTCCCGGTGCTTCAGACGCGGTGAGGGCTGCAGGCGCTGCCGGAGCAAAGCGAGGGCAGGGGTGGCCTGTGCTCACACAGGGTACGGCCGAGACCCGGCCGGGCAGCTCCCTTGCCTGCTGCCCGGCGCTGCCTGCGGCAGGGGGGCGCCCGCCCCGCCGCCGCCGCGGGGGCGGGGCCCTTTCCCGGGGGGGTTTTGGGT